AAATTTCACTCAAAAATTTCATTTCCCTCCATTTCCCATTCACCCTCTTTTAAGTATTTAATATATTAATTAAATACATAACAAACCCAACAATAAGCTCATCTCAAATTTAATCTCGGCATTAATTATCCCTTATCCCTCGTACCAAACGATCCCTAAAGAGTCTAGTCATAAGTAATTAGCTAAGCCGGCCTTGTTACTGTAACAATAATTTTGAACTCTAGTTCATATGTTGGTCTTTCCAATGTGTTTTCTAGCCTATATATATTCATTAATTAACTTCATGTAACACACACTGCACTCCATTAAGTGACTAAAAAGCAATTTATAGTCTATAGAAAACTTGTAAGCTGATTAACTATGGCTGGATCAAGCAACCAAGCAGCCAAGAATTTGGCCCTATTTCTTTCTTTTCTTCTCATTGCACTGGCTGTTGAAGGTAGACAAGTTGGCAGTAAGTTTTACATGTTCTAAATTCGTACTTTGTGATAGGAAAAATCCCTACATATTTTTAGCTCTAGCTGTTCAGGTTACTTTAGGCATATATATTTGCGCACTTAACTTTTTTTTTTTTCCTTTTTCTTTTCCATAATGCAGTTACTGGAAAGAGTGATGCTAACCTGGTCTGCAGCTCGGTCTATGGAGCAGAATTGGGCGACACTTGCTTGGGCGTGGCTGAGGAATTCAAGCTCACTGCAGTTGAATTTGGTGATTTGAACCCAAATATGAACTGTAATGCCATATTCGTGGGTCAATGGCTTTGCGTCGCTGGATCTGCTTGAACCTTCAAGTTGGCTGAGGTTTATTATTATGAGCAACTAAGTCACTTAATTAACCTTTGCATTAATGTAATAATTAGAAGCTCCGTGAATTCTTTCATGGTGACTTCGGATCTATTTGGTTGTTGTATGCTTTTTAATTTTTATTTTTAAGTTTTCTTTGGAATGTTTTCTTGGTTTAGTCATCAATATAAAGTCAACTAAAATGTCAGTTTGAACTAGTATAAGATTACAATCTAAGCTCCTGTGATTTCTTGCCGCGGTCAGGGGCAGATGTACCCGTTATGGGTTTATCTGAACTTACGGGTTCATGTGAACCTATAACTTTCGAAGCGTAGTAAGAATATATGTAAAAGCCTATTGAAATTAACAAATATTAGATTTGAACCCATAATTTTAATAGTAAAATAAGTTTAATATCAAAAATCTTAAAAGTTAAACTATAAAATTTAAATCTTGAATCCGCATATGACAGCAGCCAAGCCATTATATCAACAAGGAGTACCTATCAAGGAAGAATATTTAGATTAGTGCTATGTATTAATAATTCTTTATTGCTCATCAAGGGAAAAGAAATTAATATTGAATATCATGAAATCTAGGCATGCTTGACTTAGGAAAAATTGCCTTTCCTAAAAATGTAGGATCACTCTCTAATTTCTTTTAGCGAATGTAGTTTTCTAGAGCGTCAAATGAACGAGCTGAGTTAGGCGATTCAAAATGAATTGTGTCAAACAATTGAATCATAGCTCAACTCGCGTGAAAATTAGTTGAGACAAGATGATGAGGTATGCACAAAGTTTGAAAAGTCCAAAGAAGGCATACTAGTTCAATTTACATTAAATAATAGATCAAAATAATCTGTCCCAGGTCAAAACAATTATAAAGAGAAAAACTTTAAGGAATTCTAGTCTAGTCTAGTCTAAGCATATAGAAAAGGAAAGATGGTCGACCAAGGGCATACATATTATTTCATAAAAACTCTTGTATTGTTTGCATTTCTTAAATGCAACACTGTATCACGTGGACTCCATATTTTCCTAGCCACAATTCTCTTTTAGATGCACTTTGCCAATGTTGATTAGACTATTTTTGCAGGAAGAACAGCATGCAAATGTTCATTTCTATCCTTTTTTTCTCATTTGGTAAAATTATTATTTTTGTTTTAGTTAAATAGAAGTTTCCATAGAGAAAGTAAATTAAATGAAAATTAAATGGCTATCCACACTATTTGATAAGGATTTCAAACTAAAAAAATTCATATTCAAAATCAACTACATTAAAAGCACGAAACCCCTTAGCGAAATATAGTTCGTCTTTCTTACCCTTAAAAAGTATACTTATTTCATATTGGATAAACTAGTAAATTACTTATTTTCCTTATTTTTAAGACTTTAAAATTAACTAAAATTTTAGTTACTAAATTCCTTATCTGAAACGATACCAAAACACTAAATCTCCTTTGATAACTAAACTATTAATATTTAGGAGTATGAGATCATTAATAAATTTATCATTTTTATTCCCAATAAAGAAAGTTCAACATCTATAGGAATGGAAAAAATCATAAAGCCTACGACTCCAAAGTATGCTTCCAACAATCCTACTAAATCGGGTGGCAATTCACCTAAATACAAAATATCAACGAAGTTTTTTCTTTCTCCATTTATTCTAACGAATGACTAAATGTAATTTTTATTATATTAAGTTATTTGTGTTAGTTAATAAATTTCGAGAAATTGTGATAAAAGCATATGAAGTAATAAATATTCATAATTTTAGGATTTAATAATAGGCCACACAAATAATAATATTTTTCAAAAGATATATTGAAAGCATAATCTTTTCAAATTCACGTGAAATTAATTGATCAAACCCTTATGTAGAGTTGAACGACCTTTTAACCTTAAAAAAAAGCACTTATTCTATAACATTTATGTACAAAAAGAAATGCATATTCTAATAAACTTTTCCCCCTATTATTATACTCTTTAATTCAATATCAAATCCTACAAATAATTCATCAGTATAATCACCCTTAACTATTGCACATCAAGTTCAAACGTTGTATTATCCAATATTAGAAGAGACAAAGATATTATTATTACATCCTTATCATTTAATTATGTAAATCAAGTATATTCTATTAATTAATTCCAAAATAAATAAGAATAATATAACTCCAATAACGTAAGACACAAAAATGGAAGTCCAAAATCGTCACCATTTAGGTTTGAACTACATTACAACAATAAACGGAACTATAAATAGCACGCGAATCAGTAATTGTATACTTGATATCATCAATTTCCCAAAATCATCATTTTAGTTTTTTCTAATATTTTAATGTTTTTAATTAATGGAATTTTGTGTATTAAATCCTTACTCGTTTGAACTATATATAAATTTTTAATATTAAATATATCGTATAAATTCTTTTCTTATTTGAGTTATGTAAAGTTTTATTTTATAACTAAAATATAGTTTTAATATAATATTTATGATTATTTTAAATATATTATTGAGACAGGGTACACAAGCAAAGCGCCTACCCTAAGACTAGGTAATTTTTAAAGGTATAGTTTGTTAAACCTCAAAAGTTAATTTGAGTAATGAGATTTGTTGTTAATGTACTAGGAGGCTATCTCTTATATATACTTAATTGATGTGAAAATTTAATCTAATATTAGTTTGAACTTCCATTCCCATTATAAATTTTCAACTATCAATAAATTGTCTTAAACATTATCTGTTATTATTTTTGTATCGTTTTATTATGAAAATTAACATATGATAATTCTATAAAAACTTAAAATTCGTATAATTTATATAGACTTCTATCAAATGTTTATTATTTTATCACCAGTAAACATTATTTTAACCGAGTTATAATAAAATATAATTTGTACTACTATATTGAATTCCTACAATTTATATCATGTTAATATTTATTTTAAAGCCTATTGTTCTCTTTGTTTGAACTTTGAAGTAGTAAACTACCTCATTAGGAGTGAAAATCCTCTTGGAAGTTCTCTTTGCTTATTATATTGTAAAATTCTCTTAATTTTGATGTATACAAGATATGAAGTATTTTTTTCATCATTTATCGTATTGTAAAGAATGATGTTGTTTGTTTAAACTTTCATCAAGTAGCTGATTTTTTCCACCGTCAAAACACTCAATATCAATTTGGATGTATTCCAGATTAGTTTACAGATAGATTGATATGCTTTTTATTCTAGAAAATTATTAATATAGACGACACTTGTAACTTTTTAATGTATTCTCTTGTAAAATATTCAAATACAGTGGGGAAATAATATCATTTTGATATCAATTTTCAATTTGATGTTTGTGTTTGACATTGATTGGAGGTTAAAATGAGTATTATAGCACGTAATTTTTTTATGTTAATTGGAGCAACTTAAACATATTATAATTTATAGTTTAATTTTATGTAAATAATTAAAATAAATTAATTATAAACTGTGATCCACATATCATTCTCTATCCATGATTAAATGGATATAATAATAATTATTTATTTATCAAAAATTTAACTGACCATCGACATACAATTTTAAAATTGCAATATTGGCCCGTATAGGGGCCTTACCTTGTCTAAGTATTTAGAGAGAGAGTGAGAAATACCAACGATACCAAGCCGAAATAGTTTTTCTTCATAGAGAGAGGAGTGCGAAACGCACGGAGAGTTATATTTGACAAACCCAAACTGTTTCTATTTTAAAGCTTTTTTTCTTTTTATAGATCAACTTGGTTCAAGCTTTGCAATCAAACCGAGTAGGATATTGAGTTACACGTTTGGTATTTAAGATACATACACTAAGCAGTTTACAAAAAGTTTATATTATGAGTACAATTTAATTGATTATAACGTATATCACTCCTTTTTAAAAGGATTAATATATTATATACCCATCATTTTAGTTGTATGACACCATTAACTAAGCACGGAATTTTCTATAATATTTATAAAATATATAATTATAAATAATTTCATTAAAAATAAAATAATAATTTTAAAATAAATTATTTCTAAGTACAGAAATATGATATTTTTCTGGGACAACCTAAGCAGGGAAATATCACCACCTAAATTGGTATAGACGGAAGAAAAATTCAATAATTGTAATTTAATTTACTTAAACACATGCTTTTGTTAGCAAGATGTGACATTCTCCTCGAGTCCTCGTCATATTTATCCTCGGAATATCCGAATAAAGGGCGGCTTCTTTAATTCTTTCTCAACAGTAAAATTCAGTAGTAGTACCAATTATTTTTTCAACAGTATTACCAATTCAAAATTAGGAAAACTGTTAAAGCTAATGGTACATTAACAAGTTCAATTTGGAAATAATCCATTTTCAAAATTAGCAAAGATTTTCAAGCAAAATCCCTCAAACCGATCGTTCAAAATTTAATTCAAATTTAAAAAATCCGATCATCGGAAAAAAATCAAACTTTCCGACGAACCATAAACCCTAAGACGTAGCTGATGCAGAGGATAATATCAATTTCATCGGATTATTTGAATCGAATAATCCAGAATCTTCATAGCAGTTATTCGCCGCCAATATGGGCAACTGTAGTTGCTGGATTCTTCGTAATCCTTACTCTCACACTTTCTACGTATCTCATCTTCGAACACCTTTCAGTTTACAAAAATCCCGAGGTTATTTCTGTCTTTTTCCCGTTTTATTTCAGTTTCTGTTTCTATGTTAGTTTAATGTATCTTCTTCTTTTTTGGGGTTTGGTAATGGCAGGAACAAAAGTTTTTGATTGGAGTAATATTGATGGTGCCTTGTTATGCTGTTGAATCAGTGAGTTCCCTTTATTTTTTTTTTCTTTTGCTTTTTCCAGTTATCATATGACTTGGGATTGGCAGATAGAGAAAATCTTTGAGTTATTGTGCAAAATTATGCATTATTTGTCATGATCACTTGATAAGATCAATAATTCAATATCATATAATCTTATGACACTAAGTTAAATGCACAGCAAAGGCAGACCATTTTGTTGAAGATCAGCCCCAAGTGTCTGGCTTACCTTGACTTCTAGAGTTATTGTCATGAACCCTAAGAAGTTTGCCTGGTTGATTCTCTAATCTGGCTTATTTTTTCAGTTTGTGTCATTGGTAAATCCAGCGATTAGTGTTGACATCGGGATACTACGTGATTGCTATGAATCCTTTGCAATGTACTGCTTTGGGAGGTATCTTGTTGCATGTTTAGGTATGGATACATTCTATATTAAATTTGATTACTTTGTGCCTTCCATCTAATGTTCGGATTCAGGAAAGTAGACCAACTATCATTCCTGCCTAAAGAAAGAATGTATGTCCTTGTTTTGCAACTTGAGGAGATCTATTCATTGTACTTTTCTCATTCATCAGTAGATTTCTTCTCTTACACACATGCGCGCACTCACGTGTTTCTTGTTGCTATGGCAACTGAATTTGACTTCTTGATACAAAGGGCTGGCGTGCTTTATTTGCTAAGTGGTATTCTTAGATGCCCTGTACCGTGAAAATGCTAATTGAAGTTTGCAAAGCTTAAATTTTTCTCTGTTTCGTCTAACTAGTCATTTATGCCATCAGTCACCAGCAAAATGTATCTAAAACCTCTTTTATGAACTCGTTCAGTCATTTGTGTCTTTCTTCCTTTCTTTTCATGTTTTTTTCCCCCTTCCTTTTATTGGAATTAGGTGGGGAAAAGAGAACCATAGAATTTATGAAGAGGGAAGGACGCGCAGGTTCAAAGATGCCACTACTAGAGCATGGCTCTGAAAAGGGGATTGTTAAGCATCATTTTCCCATGAAATATATTTTCAAGCCATGGAAACTTGGTCAGTGGGTATACCAAGTTATCAAGTTCGGAATTTTCCAATATGTAAGAATGCTACCTGACTTAGATCCTTTATCCCTTTGGACCAACAAGCTGTACTCATCCCTTAACTAAACTATATCTAACACACAAATTTTGCAGGTGATAATCAAAGCATTTACTGCTACTTTGGCAGTGATTCTTGAAGCTTTTGATGTATATTGTGAAGGAGACTTCAAATGGAATTGTGGGTAAGAAACACTTGTTAGTTGATTAGCTCCCTCACTTTGATCTCTTCTTTTTGGTTTTAGTTGGATTTGGCCTTTTAACCATCCTGTCGATCAAATAGAGCTTCCTTCCTATGTTTTCTCTTTGGTTTTTCCTAGCAACATTTCTTTGCTACTTCTTTTGGGGAAAAGTCCTCCTTTTTACCCTGTGTTGCGCCATCCAGAATCAGTCATCTGAATGTGCTTTTTTACTGAACCTCAAGCTGTCTTGTCTTTATATGCATTCCTTTTATTTAAGACACCAACTGGATGGATCACAAGTCGGGGTGGAAGGCTATCCTATCCCTTTATCCTTCATGGATAGTGACTGCACAGGCATCAAAATTTGCAAATCTGGTCAGAGTTCAGTTTCTTATCATCTAATTATCATCTTCCTATAGTTGCAGAACTGGTTCCTGTATCAATATTCAATTTGTAGGTATAGAGCTGCATCTATTTGGTAGATACACCTATAAAGGGTTGTTTGTCTGGAAATATTTTGGCATTCAATATCATGTGATCTTGCTGATTCACCATGTAATTTATGAAATAATGGTCCAAGATATCTCATACATTGTACGCCTTGTCTTTGTAGGTATCCATATATGGCCGTGGTTTTAAATTTCAGTCAATCATGGGCATTGTATTGCTTAGTTCAATTTTATACTATTGCAAAGGATGAATTATCTCACATCAAGCCGCTGTACAAGTTTCTAACATTCAAGTCAATTGTTTTCTTAACTTGGTGGCAAGGCGTGGTGATAGCCCTGTGCTCTACACTTGGTTTCTTTAGAAGTCCAATAGCTCAAGCTTTACAGTTTAAGTCCAGTGTTCAAGATTTCATCATATGCATTGAGGTAATTTTTCTGGGATTGGGTATGTTTTTATTACTTCTAATACCAAAAGTTTCATTTGGGCTATCCGGATTTTTGCCATTGTTTATTGCTTCTGGTGAATTACGCACAAAGTTCCATGTTATGCTATTAAGGTATGGGCAAGAAGCTTGAAACATAAGCTTTCAGCATACATGATGGTTCTTGCATTTGCTCCGCCTGTTTTGCTACAACTGATGCATGCTTTTGTGCCAATTGATCTACGCGTATGACACATACTTACGTGGTATTGGGATTGATGCATATTAATGTTGAAAGCTGCTCTTATAAAATCTTCTTAAGACGTTCTACTACCTGTATAGTGCTCTTAAATTTGTTTATCCCAAGGTGTGAGGTTTCATATGGTTGAGTCTGGATTACTGCAGAACTGCGTTGTTTTTTATTTGGGGTCACATGCGTGTTTTTTCCCCTGCCCTCCCTCCAAGAAGAGAAAGAGGAAAACACAAACCCTGCCAATTATTTTTATGTTTCTGAAGGTTTCTTCGGGGGTATGAGGGTCGAGGGATGGGGAATATCACTGATCAATATGGACACTAAGCTTCTATTTGTAATTTTGATGCTTGATATTCCTCCAAAATCTTGAAGGTTAACAGCTCTTGTTATTCATCCAGTACAGATGGGCATTGCTTCTGTAGTTCACCTCTATGTCTTCCCTGCCAAGCCATACGAGCTGATGGGAGAGCGTTTTACTGGGGATGTTGCAGTTCTGGGAGATTACGTATCTGCTGACTTGCCAGTAGATCCTGACGAGGTTAGAGATAGTGAACGTCCCACCAAGTTACGTCTTCCTCAACCAGATATTGATGATGGGGGTGGAACTACCATTAGAGAAAGTGTTAAAGATATCTTTATCGGAGGTGGTGAATATGTAAGCATCTTTTTTCTTTGCTATTTTCGCTTTGAGTCCATGTTTTTTGAAGCTAGGTATTTAGTGTGCCTAGACCTAATAACTTTCTATTGCAAATCCTGAAATCTCAAGTATGCTTTTTAGCCCATTCAAGTGTCATCCAATTCCTGATAGTATTTCATGAGACTGAGTTCAAGGATAGATGAATAATCATCCCAATGAATCATTGCGTATTCTCCTCCCACTCACAGTTCCTACTTTTCTATGTCTCTATTACTAGGAGTTCATATTCCAAGGTTTTAGAGCATTTTCTCCTCTCTCACACTTCCTACTTTTCTAGTTTCTAGTGCTAAGAGTTCATTATCATGCAGTAGTTGACCAGCTGAAGTTAATGTTGAAATCAATTCTTTATGTTTATTTGTATTTGTTATCCTTGAAAGTAAAATTCTTAGCATGCAAAGTTTCTTTCACTTTCCCAATACGTCCTCACGTTCCTAATAAAGTCAACCTACTTCAGTTACTAACGATTGAAATCCTGTGATCTCTCCTGTGATTGAACACAGTCCATGTTACTTTCTCCTGTGATTGAACACAGTCCATGTTACTTTCTCTTATCCTGTGATCTCTCCTGTGATTGAACACAGTCCAGGGGAAGAAAGCCAAGTTGTGGCTACTGTATTGTGATGCAGCTCCAAGCATTGTGACAAAATGAATTTTTTGTTACTGATAAAACTTCAATCATCATGGTTAAGTAAAATACTAAAGTAATAGCTGTGAAATCAGTTTGATAGAAAAATGATCACATCAAAGTTTTCTGAAAAGCTAAGCATTTTTGGAAGTTGTGAAAATTATATAGATTATATTATTAGTGGAAGAGTGCAGACATGTTGGGACATTAGTGAAACGAGTGTCATGTAAATTGGGCTGAAAGAATATATATATAAGCTTATCTGATAAAAAAGAGTATATAAGCTTGAGTTGCTGCTTGAACTCGAGCTTGCTCCAGTGTATTTCATTTATTTTATACCGTCAAGCCTACTATCTCTTGTTTCACTGTTCCCTTTGTTAACAATGTTTTTATCTCCTGCAAGCAGATAGTGAATGACTTGAAATTCACAATAACCCAAGCAGCGGAACCCGTTGAGAAAGGAATTCAAAAATTACATAAAATCTCTCAGAACATAAAGAAACACGATAAAGGGAGAAAAACTAAGGACGACAGTGGCGTTGCCACGTCATCCCCAACACGAAGAGTCATACGTGGGATAGATGATCCCCTTTTGAACGGAAGCGTTAGTGATAGTGGCATTTCTAGGAAGAAGAGGCACCGTAAAAAATCTGAAAATATCAGTGCAGAAAGTGGTGGAGAGAGTAGCACTGATCAGAACTTTGGTGGTATTCAAGTTCGTGGTCGAAGGTGGGTTACTAAGGATTAACAGAAGGTCTGAGAAGAAAATTTCCGAACATTTGTATGTATGCATCTGTTGCTTTGGAAGCCTGCGGTGTTTAATTCTCCACTACATTATTCTTTTGCTTTTCCTACGGGCTTCGTTTACTTGCCCTTTTAGAAATGAAAGTGCTATATTTTATGAAAGCACTTCTTGATTGATTTTTCTGTCATTGTTGTTGCACATAATGGGTCTTGGAATCTTGTATAGAGTTATGTGTGCTCCTGAATGTATGATCCCTCACTATAGCTGAATCAGTTAGCCGCTTATGGTTCTTCTTTATAAACGTGGTTGGTATATATTATTGCGCGCCATGGGCTTTTGTCAAGGATAAAAGTTTTTCGGATTGAAACAGTGATCACTGAGACTTCCATGCATGATAATTGTGTCTGAATTTGTTTTTGAGAATTATCATATTTTCCTGCGGAACTTATGAGATAGCTTCTCCAATCTCCTTGGGAGTTATTCTTCAGAGCAGATGGAACTTTTTTGAGAGGATATTTGAATTTCTTCTTTGAACAAATCTGATTATGAATTCATTTTCTGGCGTTTTAAAGCCTAGCTTTAGTTTTTGTGTTGAATTTGAAAACTGGCTACGAAGATGACTGAACAAAGAAAAAAGATTCATCAACCACACTAACACCAAGTAATTTCACATTTCCATTTCCAAAAAGCAATTTTGGATCAGCCAGTCCTAATCATTTGCTTCCACTAATTCTACAAATTCATAGACGTATATGGTCTCCAAAAGTTCTAAACAGATGAACTGTTTTTTTTAATAATCTGGAAAGGTGTGTAATGGAAAAGAGAAATGAAATAGAACAATTAAAAAATCAAAACGGAAGGAAGAGATCAGTGGTAGAAGGTGGACTCAAAGTCTCTAGCTAACAAAAGTAATAGTAATTATAGTTTTTTTTCCTGGATAAAGACAACACATTGAACTTAGCATAATGATGCAAAAGCCTGCTCCTTTTCTTTTTTATTTTTTTTTTTCAGTGGAAAAAGCAAAAAGAGAAAAAGAAAGGTCAAAACCTCATTTCTATTTTCTGTAGTTTGAGCATAAAGTTTAACTCACATTCCTTTGGATTACATCATTGCTTTCCATATTGATAAAATGAGCAATTAAACCAGTAGTGTTATCGGAAATTCCTACTTTTGTCACTAACAAATGTTTACTGATATGTAATTAAAAGCTTTTACGATCATAGCATATGTTTTATACGCCTATTTAAATATTACTTTAACATCTCTTTATTTTAAACTCTAAAGTATGTTTTAGTAATAGTTTGGTATGGTGCCACCGCTTAATGATCTGAAGGTGCATGTCATCGATTAAATGTCTGTTTAAATAATGGATACATCTCTTGCTTTTTCTCAAGAAACAAATAATAATATGAAGATGAATGTGCCTTTTTTGTATGACCGGCAAAATGTGAATCTTTCTATATTACTTTCACTGATAGCTTCTTATATTTGATTGTATAATAGTTGGACAGTAGAAAAAAAGTTATAGCAGAAAATGCAAGACCAATTTCGAATTCAGAGACGAGAACTACAACATGAGAAAAATAATGATGTTTTAGACCCGAAAGTGATTGCTGATTTAGTAATACACAGATCCAAGAAATAATTGATTCAGAGAATGTGCTTGAACTCAACAAATACTACTGCCCATCCACAACAAGAAATCAGCCTTATTGTGGCGACCAAAGTCGCTACAAAATCCCTATTAGTCGCTGCTAAAAGGTATCAGTGGTGATTTTGCATTGCCACAAGCACAACCGTAACTGATCGCTGCAAAAGGTTGCAAAAAACGCTACAAAAAGTTTGTTCCATAAGAACAAATATTAGATGGTTCGCCACTGTATATTTACCTTTAGCAGCTACTATCATCGCCACAAAATATTTACGTTCAGTGGCAAGATTACGTCGCTACTATAAATGTCTTTTAGTAGCGACAAGTGTGGCCAGGAAATATTTAACCATGAAAGACAATTTCTTTTGTAGCGACCAAAGTCGCTGCATAAGAAATAAACCTATAGTGGCACCTTTTATATTGCAACAATTACTAATTTTTTATGACAAAACTATGTCGCCACTAAAATTTATTTTCTTAGCAATTATAACGACCAAAATTATATACATTTCCACTCCAGTAGGAACCTAATTCTCTAAAATTTCATATAGGGATATTCATATCAATTGACCATCAATATTAAAGCAACCAATAATGTTTGACAAACACCAAAAAAATTTCTCAAGCCGAATATTATAAATATTATCATTACTGAAAAGTCAATTAAATATATGCTACCTGACACTTCATTGTGCATTGTAATTGTACGCATATGCATATCCCAAAAAAGATAAAATATTAAGTGCTTTGTAACTGCTCTTTGTGTTATACTAATACATTAGTATAACACAAATTAAATTTGTTCTATGCTATTTCAATTGTGAAATGAAATGGCACAAGTGTGAGAACATAAGTTTTCAGGCAGTAAAAGAATGAGAATACAACAGTTGCATGAAAGCCGGATAAAGTAGAGGTATTGGACAATGCGAGAAATAGAAGCCTCTTCTAACTTAAGCTCTACCCTTGTCCTAGCCTTAATTTACCCAATTTCATGTGCTTATACTTTTTCATTCACCGAACCTAGGGATGTTAATGGTTCGTTTCGGCCGGTTATTTTATAAAATTTATACCATACTAATTTTTCGGTTATTCTATTATGTATAACCAAAATTAGACTTTTCGAAATCATCCCAATCATGTCGGTTTCTCTTCGGTATCGGTACGGTTCGGTTAATTTTCAGTAATTTTTTTTAGATGTCATGTAAAAGTCACTAGTAGAAGTAGAATACAATAACATACGTACTTTTATAGAACTTAACAAAACTCCCTTGACATTTTTACAGTTTAAAAGGTGATGAATTAAGAAAACATGAAAGATGGCTAGATTATAGATCCATCAACTATTCTACAACAATGTAAAGTAAATACAATAAAAATACAAATCGCACGAGCGTAAAGATAATAACCAAGCTGGGACTCAAGAATAAAGTCTATAGAAGATTGAATATTCAAAAAGATAAATCTAAATCATAAGAAAGGAAACATATTCAATATATTTTAATTTATTACTCATAGTCGCTACAATACCTTGTGTCTTGCTAGTGAATATGCTGAAAATAATTTAGTTTCAATAAAAGTGGCATAATAGGTTTGGGAATTAGGATTTTGAGTTTAATTACTTGTTGGCTTGTCACTAGTTCATAATTCTTAGGTCCAAGAAAAAATTTAATGCTTTATTATTTTAAACTTAATATATAAATATATTTTTTACATTGTAAATTTATTCGGTACGGTTCGGTATTTTTTCGGTTTATTTTCATAAAATAAAAAACCTACCATAATTATCGGTATGGTTATAGATTTATATAAAAACCTACGGTTTTATTAAAAGAAACCTAAAAATCGGCTCGGTACGGTACGACACGGTCGGTTTAATCGATTTTTAAATATCCATTGACACCCCTAACTGAACCTACTTAAATAACTAATGTGCATTAACAACCAAGACAGTCCAAAACTGCCTGAACACTAATCTCAAAGTTTTGTTACTGCATTCTTGCACATACACTATCAGGTAAACAAAATATGGAAGCCTACTGAAGCTCTATCAGTAAGATAGATGGAAGCTGAGGTTTATCTCATACAAGTAAAACTACCTATTCCATATTTCCATTAGTACATGGGTTTCAATAATAGAAAATGTGTTTCTATATAGGGAAGATTTACTGGGGCAGATGCTAAAGATAGATGCTCGCACTTCAATTACTCAAAATAGAGGTCACTATAAGGCATCATTCATATATAAAATTTGCGCACCAACAAATTAAAGACTTCAACAATGATTCAGTCGTTGACCTTCTCAAGAATATTACTAACTATATCAATGAGGTTCGCTACTACTTTTGTCATGATTTGGTTAACCATTTTATGCTACGGAGGATACCAACAAATAACACAACCTCCTAATGCAATAGTAGCACTAGATGGCTCGGGCAATTACACAACAATAATGGTGGCAGTCTAAGCAGCTCCAAACAACAGCGTTATATATTACTACATCAAAATAAAACAAGGAGCCTACAATGGATACGTCCAAATCAAAAGCTGGAAAATGAATATAGTTTTCATCTGAGAAAGAATGGACAAAACCATAATATCCGAAGATAAAATTTATGGTGGGTGCATCGGGACAATTTATACTGCAACTGTGGGTGCGTAAATCTATTTTCTTTATTCCAATTAATTTCTCAAGTTATTCTCTTTAACAGTATATATATTATTCCTTGGCATTATGTGTATTATTGATTCTGTTAATTTTTCTTCACTTTTCAGGGGTGAATGGCCAGGGCTTCGTAGCCCAAAAAAAAGATCCCACAAGGACCAAAATAAATTTCAAAAGACTAAGGAAATTCACAAATCGCAAATGCAATATTAATCAGAATACAGAAATAAATCCGAAAAAGGTACATCGAGTTTGCATCAATTAACATCAACATTGAACAATAAAACATAAATACGTCCAATAGCAGAATAATATTTTCTATTCAGTCTCCAGGAGTAACTCAATCTAATCACACTTATTCCCTTGACGTAATAAGTCTAATTACCAAAGAAATCAAACAAATTCTTCTACGGGGGGCTAATATTATCTGCAGAAAAATTATCCTTTAAAACATTGCCGAGCTTACAAAAATTATCCTTTAAAACATTGCTGATCCTTTAAAACAGCTATTGCCTTTAGTTTTATAAATTGTGGTAAGAAGCCTCCTTCTTCCTCTCAGATGACACCAGCTTTGTTGAAATCAATATTTATTGATTTCAAAGTTTATTCTACTGTGGAAGCTGGTGCACAAACAATTGCTTTGAAAGCTGGTCCTGTTAGTGTGAAGAAACATGGATATGTCTCAACGTCATCTAATGAAGATGGTTTAAAGAGGAGTGCAACTGGGGATGGCTGGACAGTGCTTGAGAGATCAGCTACAAGGCAAAACACACACTCAAATGCGAAGAAACAGCAGCAACAGTTAAGTGCTCCAGGGTTCCAACAAAATACCTCACAGATTATTATAAGTCCTAGCGGGTTTGAAGTCTTAGCAGATAAGGAAGGTGTTGATAATTCACCAACCTTAAATGATGCTAATTTAGTACGAAAATTGGTTCTAAGCACCAGCAGTAACAAAGAAAAACGAGGCAGTGATGATCTGGTTAAGAATATTAGTGCTC